TTTACAATAAATTATCCTGAGGAGCAAAATAAGATTATAATTATTATTAGATATTCGTATCATCAAAATTGGACATTTAAAAAAAATATAACAGTTCAAATAGTTTTAATCTCAAATCAATAAATAATCAGGTCAAAAATAGACCACTGATTTATTATTAACCGAATTTACTAAGTTAATGTGCTGTTAATTATACACGTAATAATACATCCGATAAACTACAAAATGCCAAATATTTACAAGCAATTTTGTACTTAATTACCAACAGATTAACAGTCAGTTGCACAAACTTTCAGTTAATGACGACTTAAGCCTCTAATGAATGTACTAAATTTGAAAATTTGTATCGCTAATATCTAATGATGATTTTAATGTACGCTTGTGCAACTGAGTATAAGGCTTCAAATCGAATGGAGTAACTTTTTGTGTGACTGTAATTCTGGGAATAGTCGAAGAATAGTTTTCAATTCTAACTCTTTACAATTCAATCTAGTACTTTTAATGAATTTGATTTAGAAGTACTTGATTTTAGAGGGTTAGAACCCAATATAATATAAAATATATATATTTTGCGAGTATTAATTTTAAAATGAAGACACTACGGATAATATAAGGATGATTTTGTTCAACTTGTTATTTTTAAAAGATACTTTTCCATCAAACAAAACGATAACCCTGCGAAATTTGATTGATGGCAGACTCCATTTTTTCATCTAATTTATCTCCATTAATTTATCTTTGCTCGTCGTGTAAAAAGTATTTTAATTTCTTACTGAAATGTACGAGTTCTTTCAACTTTCAACATGACATGTTCGAAGCTTTACCGTTGATTTATGTTTTACTAACTTGTGGTTAATCGTTCCGTCTGTCTATTTTTAACTAAAGTTATAAACCTGAATTAAGAAAATTTTGCAGATTTAAGATGTTTTCTTTTAAGAAAATATAATTTATTATATAATACATTTTTTTCCAAATTGACAGAAATAATACTCCGTATACGTTTGAGTTCAATTCGGCACCTTCAACTGCGTCATTCATATATACATCCATGTGAATGACGCATCCATGTGAATGACCATGACGTGCACTTCAACTTCACGTGTACATTGCACGGGCCGATCAAATGAAACCAGTCCATTGTCAGCCGATCTAACATCCATCAGCTGTGTTTTAACAGCCTTGAACTTCGATATCATGGAGGTTCAATACAATAAAATTGCATTGAACCTCTATGCTGTTTCTAATTTATTACCTTTTAAACTAGGTTTTGTACATACGTTTTTATAAGAATAGCATTGTAGTACAGCTTCGCTCGCCAGCTCATTCTGGAGTTGTATATAAGAGTTCAAGAGGTTACTTGAACCCGCAACTCTATCTCCTATCATAAGGTAAAATGTATTTCTATCTAAAAGTGTATATATCTTTACTGGGATATTGTGTTCGTGAATAAAATTCAACATTCGCAATATGGTGTCAAAGGTAAGTTGAATATGTCTTAAGTTAAAGATGGTAATACGATGGTGGTTTGAAAAGTTCTCGGCCCGACCAAGACAAAAAAAATAATTAATGTTTTATTTTTCTACATATTCTCCTCTTGTCTCAATACGATGGCACTTTACAAACGATTAAATAAAGAATCGAGCAGTCGAATGACAACAAATTAGTTTACATACTACCCTCGAATCTCGGTCAGGCCGAGAAATTTCAAACCACCCTCGTAGAATTTCAAACGAGTGTTTTTCAAATAGGCCTTCTGCCATCGCACACATACGAGCAAACTCGAATCATAGCTTTTTCTAGGTTTCTTTTTATATGATAAATATGTGCGTTAACAACTAAAATATAACAAGCGATAAACATTAAAAAAGGTCAAAGATATAAGAAAATCTCAATTTGGAAAAAGGAATCTTTACGGATTTGTAAACAACATAATATTGACAGAACCTTTACAAATTTACACAGCCACATTTTGGGAGTCCATCTGATATGCAAACAGAGAGGCGAGTTCAATAACCCATTTCAGGGCATAGGAAAAAAAATATTTTTATCTAATAAATATTTAGGGGAAGAATGCTTTACCCGGACATTTATATTCATGAACATCAAACAGGAGGTGAAATATACCAAAGTGTGGGGAGACATGATTTTATGTGAACACCACATTAGGTATTGAAATGCCACAATTTGTATGTGCATACGCAACTATGAATTTTGTGCTTTATCACAATTACCTTTAGCCATATTCAGTGTTATTACAAAAAGAGATGTTAGACAGCGTATTACCACGTGTTTAAGTTAACAATGTCTAAGAATATAAACCATGTTTAGAATGATGATTACCTTTGTCTATTATAAATCCATTTTTAATGGTTGTCTAACTAACACTGATTTAAACATGCAACCCGTAAAATATTAGTTCAGTCAGCTTTCATTTGTTCATACACGTTCCATTGTATGCACATTGTATACAGACTTATGACAAATTATAATCGTAAAAAGATATGTTCAATAACGAATTTGCTAATAATTTTCATAACTAAAAAAGAACATACATAATTAACATTTTTAAATTGACACTTCTATAAAAATTCATTTCAGAGTTAGGTTAAGTAAAACTATAAGGAAATAATATGAAGAAACGGAACAACTACTACCTGATGACGAACCCAACGCCGCACATGTTCAAAAGCTATATGCACACATGCACATGCCACCTGTATTTATTTGCGGATCTATACTTTCATCTCGAGGATTATGTGGAATATCGTCTTAAATAATTTCATATATTTTGTCAGCCAACAATTCACTAAATATGTACTTTCTTTTAAATCAAAGTTCATTGTATTACTCAAATGGATTAATTCGCATTCGGTTTGCTTACGCGTCCCGAAAGCTTTCCATGTAATCTAAATCAACCATATCAATTTTAGCTTTAAGCTCCATATCAATTTTTATGAATATGGATGAATTTTCAACAAACGCAACCTATTTTGAGGTTAGACACACGTTAAACATATCTGAACGAGTGTTCATATTTTAAACAATGTTTAAGGGATGTTTAGCCTTAACCAATGCTTAATTACGATTTTGTAACAGATAAAATTTTGAACACGTGTTCATCGCGTGCTTATCTTTTGTGTAATAACACAGATTTTGTTTTGCGACTGTCATTTTTTATACTGTATTTTTAGTATAGCATCGTTAATTGATTTGTTCAAACAAATACGATTGGAGAGAAAATACGAAAGTAAAACAATATTTTTTTTTGTTCAAATAAACCTATTAGTTATCAGATACAAATCTAATTTAAGCATCGAAATTGAGTTGCCAAATAGTTTGCCATTAAAAATCAAGCAGTACGATAAACAATAATTGTGATACAGGTTTGAATCCTGAAGGATAATTTTACTGAAAGCTGTTTTCCCGCAACTTTACCCGCGTAAATTATAGCTTTTGTCACCAGCGTATGATGTAGCTTCCCGTAGGTGAAGGAATTTTCATGACTGAAACCGTATTTCTGAAGATAACCCCTACAAACAAAGTTAGGAACTTTATCTTTTTATGATATTAGTAAAGATTTGGTTTCTAAAGGGAATCCTAAAAGAAAATGTTAATTGAAAAGATTTTAATAAAACTCGGTTGTGAAGCGAGATATCGACTCAGATTATTCAAAACTGTCTTTTTTCTGATTCTGATTAACTTTTTAGAGTAAAACAAAATCTCACCTACGTCGAGAAATAGTCATTTTGTTCTATGTGTTGTGATGCTGTATGTATTTATAAAAGAGAAAAGTTATTGGCCTTTATATTATACATTATACATTATTGTTATCGAAAGTAGAGCAAGAAATCTTTACTTTTAAAAACTATCTAACAAAATCACAAATATTATCCAAAAATCTTACCATTCAATCAAATTGCTTGATAATTATTTATAATATGCAGATTTAATTGAATTGATGTTTCGAATTCTATTTTTGTTTAATTAAATCAAAAAGAATACTTAATAACTTCTTTTGATGCCAAGCAAATATAAGTTACACTGTGTTTTCTTTTATTAATTTCAAAAGAAATTTCTTGAATCTTTCAAACACTCTTCTACCTTAATGAACATAATTAAAAGTTTTTTAAAATCATTGCAGTAATAAAATAGTTTTTAGTGATAGGCAAGATGTACACGTTGAATTCAAAATCTTCATTTTTGGTCAGTAAAAACACTGTCAAAAAACAAGCCGCAAATTTAATTTTATTGAAAACAATAGAAAAAATATCTATACACAACAAGGACCAAAGGTCGACAACTGTTTCTAAAACCGCCCGCTTAACATCATGTTGTTTGTCCGAAAATTCCAAATTGGTATACTTTCCGTGTTGTTTCTCTCTCTAAACGCCCAAAACAAACCCTTTAACAAAGTTTCCTTATACGAAAACCATTAAAAGCACTCCGGGAGCCCGCCAAACTTTTTTCTCGTTAGTAATTTAAAAATAAGCTTTGGGGAATTACTTGGTTTCGATGGAAAATGTTAACAGTTTCTATATTTGAAATACTTTATTGATAAGAGCAATAAATTGATAAGAATTATGAATTATTAACATGCAGGAAAAGTATCATATTTTTAAAGAGGGTATTTTGCAAGAAACCTCTTTTTTTATTTGCCATTTGGTGAATGCCGATTTCTTTTGATGACATTCGGTGCGAGTCTGAAATCAACACTTTTGCTTTTGTTGATATTTTTTGGGAAAAAAAAATTGTTACTTCGGATGAGCAGTAATTATAGAGTTATGTAAGAATGTTGTAATGCAATTGTTTTGATTGGTGACGCACAGAGCACTGCCATGGCCTTGTAATATATCTAAGTTCTTGTCCCACAACATAATTTTGTTCCTCTCTAGATGACAAATACATCAATAGTATTTAAACTTACGAATACAGTGGAATGATTTTTACATTTCAAACAAAATTAGAAAAAGGAATAGATACCAATTTTTTTTTAACTTTTTATGTAAATATATGTATTGTAATATTTTACAGTAGACTTATTTCCACTTGGCTTCATTGGGAAATAATGGAAATAAATGCTCAAATATAAATAGAAAAACCAAAGTGCACCAACAAGTGGATAGTGGTCTATAAAAATTACAAATAAGTTATATTATTTTACACCATGTAAATATAATATTTAATCAATTACTTATACAACAGAATGCGCCCAAAATTTAGATTTTCATTGTGAGTATTTAAATGAAGTTGTGATTGTACTGTCGATCGCACGTCGACAAGTTTGAGTCTTAAACTGTTGGTAGAAAAGTCCTAAATCGAATGTGGATATTTTACTTTTTGTATTAATCTGATGGGAGGTGTATACGTTTTAATTTACTTTTCATTATATTTATAAACAATTAAATTCAATTATGTTTCTGACACTATACTAGCAGCCCATCAGGGTAACGATAACGCTGAGTAAAGCGGCTGACAGCGGATACTGAAGACGTAGCTGACCACCATGTTGCATCGCTGCTGGATGCTCACCTGTGGAAAGATAGAATGATATAATCAGCGTTAAATTTTTTTATTGTTATTAATTATAGTTTTATCTTAAGTTTAGTTGTTCGTTTATACTAAATTTGAAATTAGTGATTATTGGATTGATCTTGTCCTAGATAATACACTAACTTTAATGTTAACTTACGTTAATAACGAAATTTACATCAAATTAAGGGGTCATGCTAAAGTATCAGTCCAACAATAAAAAAAATAGATCAACATTGTCCGCTTGACTGTAGTAAAACTTCAAAAGATAAAATTCACTGTGCCGTAAAAAGGTTCTTTGTTTACTTTATAAAAAAGACGTTCTGTTAATGATGACAAAGTGCCGGATTGTGTAGTAAATACGGCAAGTAATTGGATGTCACTTTAACAGGTGGTAGAGATGGCAGCAGAAAAGCAATTTCGCTTTTACGAAACTCTGCGCTTACTGGAGGAAATTTAATTAAAACTAACAATTACAATGAGAAGCATAAGTCATAAGTTGTCTACTGAAAAAAAAATGAATCTTAGAAGAGTTTATTCCTTTTAAAGTTAATAGTAGAAATGGAATATTAGGATAATGTTAAATTAGATAGTAAACTTAATGGAATTTTATTAGTACTAACATTACAAAAAATGACTTAAGACTTTCTAAATAGGAAAAAAGAGAAAGGGCAATCTCCATAATTTTCAATTTTCTATTCGTAAACGTTTTTATCTAAATCGTAAGGCAAGTAAACCGAAGGCAAGCATCTTCAGGGCTAAAACTCTAACAAAAGTGATTTAATTTCTTGACTTCTTCGAAACGGGTACAATAAATCTTTAATTCTTTTCTTCAATCTACAATTATGTAATGTCGAATGTAAATTTCTTCCCTGCGGCACCACAAGTAATCTGTGGGTGTGGAAAGAATGATAACATCCGACTTATTTCTACCACTTTCACCAAATCGTTTATACATTTATAGGTTACCTGCACTTATTTTTATTCTTAGTTTTCATTGTTGTACCTTTTGAGATCACCTTCCATCAAGATGTCAACATATACGATCTTTTTATTTGTACAGATTCTTATTTCTGCTACGGATATTTTGTCTTCTCCGGATATTCGCATTTGAGCACAGAGAAAATACCAGAATAATTCGCTTAATGGTTCGTAGGGTGACACGTATTTTATCTAATTTCTCAATATAAATACTAGTAGATATTATATTGAAATATACTGTGTCAGACATCGGCCTAAGTAAAGAGACACCCGAGTGATTATAACTAAGGTTTAATTTGATTTGTTCGGGTAAAAGAACTTTAATACCCAAAATACAAAGTCCAGAACTGAGTAAACTTATTATACTAATATACTACATTGAAGGATAATATAATTACGTTAGTTTGAAGGTTAATTAAATCTATATTGGGCTAGTCTCAACTAAAACATTTGTGATAGAAATACAGAATCAGCGACGGCAATGTAAACATCCTAAGCTTATATTGAAGTACTTTTCGGCATTGTAAATGGTGAATATTAAATTATTAACAGAACTTCAACTCTTAAGCTTTTTTGAGATGATTGGCAAGTTTGTATCTACTGCATAATACACTTAGCTAAAAATACTATTTAAATCAGGCTTAGTTAGATATCTCTTATTTGATACTAAGTTCGATTACAAACTTAGGCGGAAGTTACTTCGGACTAAGTTAAGCCAACTTCCAAAGATTCTGTTAGTGTTTCTGCAACTATTGGATTAATCAAGGTTGCTATGGTTACCTGTGAACGTCTTTAATTGTCTTAGTGCTTTATTCCATAAATCGGTATTAGTGTGTTGTGTTCACATTTGTAGATTGTTAGTTTGTACCATTTTCGTTTTATTACGATAAGGATGTGAATTTATTTTACACTATGTGTGTGATTTTCTGCCTTTGATTTAACAATCCTTTTCGCTAAGAAAGGAACGAATTTTTTTTTACAATAAAAGACCTTAAAATAACTACGCAAACATCCAACACACGAGAAACGAAACACGGAATACAATTTTAGCGAATCTGTACTAACACTTGATTGTTAAATCATTGTAGAATATATGGGGGTAAAATCTCATGCATTCGATAGTGTATCAAAACTAGAAATCATCAATCGAAATTAAGATTTCTCGCTTTTAAGGGACTTTAACATCTACCTCTATATTAAGAGGGGTTGGAGCAAAATGTTGATTAGTACATATATATCTGAAATTGCCAAAGGTATTGTTGATAAAGTTATCTGTTTTCAATGTGCCAAACATTTTATTAGATCCGAATAAGGTAGTAATTTATAATATAACTAATAAAAAGTAGGTATTGGTAGTCAAACAGACATTTGTAGATGTAGATGTAGAAAACGAAATAACAAATTTTGCACAATTTCTTTTTTGAGGTGCGAAAACCTTAAATAATAATAAAAATTAAAAGAATATTAAAAACTTACCACTGAGTACATGCACCAACACTGATCTTGGATTAGCGTTGGCTGGTGCACAAGTATACCTTCCAGAGTCAGGCCCTCGAGCCTTCTGAACCAAGAGATGGGAAGTAGTCGTCTCCCCTTTCTCCGTGATCACTGATACGCCACCACGTGGCGAATCGTAATTTATTTCCTGCAGACAAATTGTTATAAATGAATATTGTAGTTTGCGATGCAGAAGTTAAGCAATTTTAAAAAGGCTGGTTATAGGATTGGTGAACAAGAATTTGTTATCTAGAGAGCCTTCGTGCTTCTGATGACACTTTAGGTCGTTGGTTCTGGAGCATCTACAGTCAATAACAACCAATCCTAGAGAATCATAGGAAAAATCTGTACCCCATCAGTAACTTATTAGGCTGTTGATAACGATTCACTGGATCAAAAATCAATATCCAAATTTGGACATTGATAAAGTTCCGCAAATTATTTCCGCCGAGAATTTGGTCGGTTGACCAAAATAATACAAATAGACCGACCAACACAAAAGATCACCACGATTAATATCCAATCAAAATAATCTGGAATTTGATAACTGTTCAAACAAGTTTTTAACTTCAACGTCAATAAATTTTGCGTTAAATATTTTTATGATCCAATATAAAGCTAGATTAATAAATATAATGAAAAATATTTTATCTTCCACGTAGTCTATTGCAAATGAAACCGCAATGACATTTAGTAACGTTGCAATGTCTAACATTAATAGGGGTTCTTAAGCTAATCTTATTTCTATTTGACAATCTTCTGCGAACTTTTACCTTCAGGAGAATCTTCGTTTGTTTCTGTTTAATCAGTGGCGACACTGATTGCTTTTCAGTAATTAGCTTCCTTGTCTAGATAATTAGTTTGGTATACCTATAACTCAATTTGAACTGCTGTTTCTTTTGAATATTTGTTAGTTTTTCTTAACAAAAGACTATTTACTTTGTTTGAATATTTATGGTGTGAGAGTATTGCCATTACATTACATTATAAAAAGCGTAGAACTATTAATAATTTGCATTAGAATTGATATTCTTATTGTAATTTGCATTAAGTAAGTATTATCTTTAATTATATAAAAAACATTTCTGTGACTTCGGTACTCACCAATTTTATTATGTATTTTAAAACATTAAATCTGAACCTACAATTTTATCAACCCTGTATATTGTAGAATGTACTTTTTTGTAATTAATAAATATTAGTCAACATGACACACATTGAGCACTTGTATTATGGAGATCCGGAACAAGGTATCACAATACACTGAACCAACTGCAAATAAAAAATCCGGGATCTCAGAGATGGAGACAACCTGAAGCAAACGTGGTGTACGAGTCACACGGTCACGAAGGTAGTCATCGAAATGCTTTTATATTAAAATTTTTATAAATTTATTTGTGTTCAGCTATAATCAAAATCGTTTTCCATAGTAAAAATATTAGGTATGCATAATTCGTACCCTATACAAGCTTGTTGGAATTCAGCTCTTACAAATTGCAGAAGTTTCTTCTTTCGCTTGTTTCCCTGTAATCAGCATTGGTACTAATGACCAACCTCGTAATAAGCCCCGCCAGTCTGTTGCCAATTAGCCTGAAACGCCAATAACTTGCACTGCTATTGACTGCTGCTGTTAAAACTTCATCAGAGAATAATTAAGTCTAGAAGTTTGACTTAAAATGCTTTCAATAATAAAGAAAATCGCCTAAGTGCACATCAGATTTGCGCATCGAGATTTTCGTAAAATATTACTGAAGTTATAAAACTACCATCAAGCACTCTTTTCGAAAACTATGTGTCCATATATTGACATATAATCTATTGTCCAACAGAACAATAACAGATGAGAAAACGTGTGTGTGTAAATTTAGATGTTCTGAATTATTATTACCATATAATGGTATATACATACATGGTACTAAAGTAAGTCCTAGTTATATAATAAGATGGTTAGAGTCTTTAACTGAAAAAAAGAAGATACTGCTAACCTTAATCATGGTAGAGATTATATATAATTTATTCTATGTTAAGGGAGATAATTGTCTAATTTTTCAATCTATCACAATCATTTTTAAACGTATAGCGTTGTGATAATGATTTATAGAATTGTGTAACTTTTAAAGTCACAATTGCTTTCGGAACGAACGATGATTTGAATGATATAGAATGTCATTGATATTTCGTTTTGTTCTTGTTGAATAGTGAAATAATTTTTACGATTTCATATGATTGTAATTAATTCTCCTATTTCGAGTAAACAATAAAAATATTTTATTCATATAAATTAAATAATAGAATGTAAAATTATTTTATACTTTTCACAAACACAGCGTTTTATTTCAACGAAAATAAAATAAAACTATCGTACTATCGTTCTAACAAAACGCACCAAGCGCATTTTTTATGTAAGCTTGTCTAGGGATGAATCGATACGAGTAAATACACTACTTACTCGATATTTTTCTATCTATACCAAGTACTTTAGGACGAATAGTAAATAGTATCGTGAAGTAAGAAAGTAAATGTGTGTATCGGTACTTGGTCGGTCCGTTTTCTCTGTTTAAGGTGTCTAAAGTCTATCTTATGAAAAAGTCCCACAGGCGCAGCGTCCCTGTTCCTGTGTGACTAATCATTACTAACCCAATAAAATGAACTGCTAATAAAATTTTGAAGCAATACTTAACTAAATACATACTAAATACTTTCTTCTTTCTTCATTATACTGATTATAGCTATTGACTATCAATAGTATCAAATTTGCTCTGAAAAAACAATAAAAATGACGACGATGATGAGGCATTTCAAAACTATTTGATGCAAGTAGGTATCGAGTAAAAGTATCGATTCCTACGTGGTATCGTTTGATCCCTAAGCTCGTCATGTCATCAGCTGGTGATCATCTGCCAAAAAAGTTGGATAAACGTGGCATTTTGAAATATTTATTAATTGTTGTATGTAGAGTTTTGAGTAAACCCACGTATAAAAAGATCGGTAACCAAAACTTCCAAAACATACATTAAGTATCGAAAGATTGCAGTTAGTCAAATGAACTTTATCGTTCATTCAATATCTTTCAAAAAATGTCGAGATCGCAATTGCTTTCACTTCTTAAATTAATTGTAGCGTGAAGTTCGCGAAAGTCTTTCAAATGTCAAATTCAAAGTGATTAGTGAAAGATTTTTTTAAGACAATTAGGCCACTGAACTTCAGAAATGACGATGCATATTCCAAAAACTCAAATAACAATATAGGTATTACAGCTAATTCTTCTATTTTTCTCATATTATTTTATTTCATAAAACTAAATAAGAATGTATGTAAAAAAGTAAAAAGTAAAAAAAATAAATTGGATCTCGATTGATCATGAACAGGTTTTTAATTAGTAGTTTTTAATTAGTTAGCTGATCGCTAGGATCATCCTGAAAACGTGCTTAAATTGGATAGACACGGATCCAACTCGAATCGGATTTGCTAGAACCAATGCTCAAGATAAATTGCACGTTTGATGGTGTATATGAGTTCATTCTATTGACAAAATCTGAATTTGTATTTGTTAATAATATACAATGTTTTACGGCTAAATTTTTCTTTATTCAACTTTATTAGTGCCTCGTTCTCAAAGTAATGAAGATTACAAATAGTTGTAGGGACAGAGAGATGAATAACAACATTTCTGCTAGGTTTATATCATCAGAGACATATTTTTATAAATATGATTTCCTTTAAAAAAGGAAGACATGCAAGTATAAAAATAAAAAAAAAGTTTTTTTTTTCAAATAAGCTTTTATTTAATGAACAAGTTAAAACCTTTCATTTGAAACCCATATTAGGTAGGTTATTAAGAAATATGTACCCCACCATTTTGTTAGGCGGTCAATTTAGATTAGTAATACGAATTATATATAAGTGCATTCTCATCAAAACTAAAAGTGTGTTTTAAATTTCAGCTCAAACAGAGACTGGGTAGTGTGTAAAATTTAGCTGGGAAAATTGGATAAGAGATATAGGTAACTGGCACATATTATAAAACATATTACAAAGTTATTCATCAATTTACAATTTCAAAATATCAAAAAATAGAAGACAATCATCGGGACAAATAAAATCTTTTTAATTTACATGAATGCATATGATCCTAAAGTTTATCGAACACATTTTTTTGTTTATATGAGTGTTCCAAGAAGATTTAGATTATCTGTCACAATTATTACACTGATAAAACAGTCAAGTTTCACTAAATGCAAACCATCTGGTCGTATATTTTAGGTTATACAAAACTGTACAAAATTTAAAACTTCAAAATTTTGAGAATAACATTCAAAATCCATTGTGTAAAATTTGACATATTGTGGTAATCTGATGCTAACATTTTGATTTTCACCTAACTGGTATAAAAAAATATAAACATCTGGTAAGGCTTTTCAGAAGATTGGATTTATTTCCCGGGCTATCAAAAAATGTTAAAATCATCTTGTTACCTCTTTCTGTATAGATTTCTAGTTAGATTACAGCTGAAATATACTAGTATTTAATTGAATCCACTCTAAGTGAAGTATGGTAATCAACTATAGCAAATTTCTAAAAAAAATGTTATTTACAAGTATTTTCGCACTAAACCCTCCTACGAAGTCCTGTTGCAGAAATATTAATTCATGACGCGTAATTCTAGAAGAAGAAGACACTTTTTCATACAAAAATGGAAAGTAAAAGGTTTACTGAAACAGTTATGATTGCTAGCTTATAAACCAAATTTATTACAGCGTTCTTCATAGATCTCAATAAATCAGTAAAAGTCACTCTCATCACTCATAAATATAACAATTATATATGATACCTAATACACTGGACAGCAAAACTAAGTATCACACTTTTAAAATGGCAATAACTTTTTAAGTACACAAGATACACTATCGAAATAAAAAGGATTCGAAAAAGAATTTAATTTAGTAAAATAAAGTAAATAAAGCTGATAAAATTTACTATAACATGGTATTTATTTTAAATCGCTAAACTTATATAGATTACAAAAAAAATAGGTTTCAAAAGTGTGATACATACTTTTGCAGGTCAGTGTATATATAAAACCAAGGAGGACACTCAAAGCTCAAATTCACCGTTTAATCAAATCTTATAATGATAATAACTCAGATA